AATAGTTAACCGTCACAAACTTCCACCAATCCTTCGCTCCCAAGCAAAGTAGGTTCAACGCAAAGCGAACCTTTAGGTCGTCCTCTCAAGACCCCAAGTCACAATAACTCTACTCTTCAAGGTTATCTATACACTTACCCTGCAGGTCCCTCAAAACCACAACTAAGAATCTAGGCACTCATCCTAGACTACTTAAAACCGCTTCGCCTCGCAAAGATCTTCGTTATTCTCGCCATTTACTTTGCATGTGCCAATCGCACACGAAACATGACTCGATAGACTGTCGAATAAATGATTATACCTAAAGTCCACAACCAAAAAAGGAAAAGGAGGAAAGGATAAATCATGCATCCTAAGGCTATAAAATCTCATCCATGTACAATCATACATCATACAACAAGCAAATAGCAAGGATATGTTTAGTCTTATAAAAGCAACCTCCTAAGCTAAAGGCATCACAAATCAGGCAACTCTATTACACAATTCATGAGGGATCCTTATCCTATCAATTATCATGTATTCCTACCAGTTCACAAGATAACAAAATGAAACTACACATAAAATAAGTAGAGATATTTTGGGAAACTACCGCTCGAGCTCTAGTTGATTGTACACACTGCTTCATCCGACTTTTCTTCTTTGAAATTATTTGTTTCTTTTTGAAAAATTTTAATGAAAATCCTCATATTCTTAGTTTGAGGTTGGAATCCCACAAGTGTTCATCCATATCCATCAAACCAGGACTCTGATACCAATTTGTAACTTCTAAATTTCCAAACCAAAATTTTAGTTTTTAAATTCATATAAAAACATTGTTCATAAAAACCATCTCAAGAAAATCACAAATGTCAAATACAGGTCATCATCAAAGTATAAGAGTGCCTCGAAATATCTGGAATCATAAACCGAAGGCGAATGTGTACAATCAAGTCTTCGCCTTCCCGCAATCCCAAGAAGTACCTGAAACACATTTAATCAACAACTGTAAGCATGCATCTTAGTGAGTTCCCCAAAATACCACATACAACACATCACAAAATAAACATTTATGAGTTATCAGCAACCCTGGAGACTACCTGAAGTTTCAACACATACAGTAACATATATCACAGTAATAGCAGATAGACACAGTTGTTCATCACACATACACACACACACTTTTCTATCTCTCTCTCTCTCTCTCTCTCTATATATATATATATATATATATATATATATATATATATATATATATACACACACACACACACTACCACATAGGTAAGAATAGTGAGGAGACTCACCCTGCATAGATGACTGATAGAACTCACACCCAAACTGTCAGAACTAGACTCCGCCTAATAATTACACCAATTAACCCTAATTAATAATTAAGGTAATTTTCCATACTCCACTAGTCCCAAGCCATGCTTGATCCACATTTAGGGCAAAAGACCATTTTTCCCCTTCCAAGACCAACAACCCTCACAAGCTCCCTTAAAGGCACAATTAGCCAAAAGTTAAAGAAAGTCAACATCGGGCCTTACGCACGACGTACTCATCTATATGTTGGGTGTAGAGCACACAGTTGGAAGAAACCAGGCTCGCAACTGGCTACACTGGGAGTAGCCAGAAGTACGCTCGACATACGTGATCTCAACTCAAAATCTAAGTTTCAAGGTCTTAATCATTTAAGACACTTTACCCCAACCTCATATCTGGCCCTAAAAGATGTCCTAATCCATAAAGTCTCTGACTTTATTCCTTTGCATGGCTAAAGAGAGCTTAATCCCAAAACCCTAAATTCTAACATCACCAAAAACTCTATAACTCATGCATGGATGAAAGGAAATGATCAAGCTTGTATTTTTTTTACTCTATACACCCTAAAACGTCTGAAGGACAACTCATATGCTTTGGAGTATTCCATACTCACAAAGATCAAGGTTTTGGGACAAAATGAACATAATCTAAGCTTAAACAATATCTAGTAAAGCAAGATCCAAGGTATGAACTTTATGCCTTCAAAAGATAAACAAGGAGATGTAGATTTTGGATCCAAAAGCTAAATGCAACACCACTTCTTGAATTATCTTCCTTCACTGCCAAGAACATTCAAAAATCACTAATAAGCTTCAAATCTCACTCACAAGGGCTAGGGTTTCGATTTTAGGGTTTAGAGGAATGGAGGATGGTCATAAGAATGTCCAAGGGGGCATAAGATACTTAAATAGTGGACACAAGCCTAAAAATTTAGGGTTTAAGGGCATCATGAGTACGCCCAACATACTCACGTGTACGTCCAATGTACTCGACGTCCGTCACGATCCACTTAAAGCTTTACGCCCAACGTAAGGACTAGATTTACAAAATAATTCCATTTTTAGGTTAAAAAGTGGAAATACCTGGAAACGGGTGTTACAACTATAAATTGTATATCTTTTTGTTCCAATTCCACCAAATACCTTTTTGTTAATTATTATGATTGATTCCACTTCTTATTTGTCAATTGTATTTAATAAGCAATGGAAATTTTTTGGGTGTCATTGAAATGTTGGAAGAGTTTGACCCGGTTATCAAAGAGCATGTACGACAGATCACAAGTGACTGTCTTCATGTGCATTATCTTGGGCACACAATACAAAAATAACTAATACTTTTGATAGCTCAAGAAATTAGAAATGAACTTATCAAGAAGATAAAGGAAGCAAAGTACTACCCAATCATATTTGATTGTACTATTGATGCAAGTCATCAAGAACAGGTGACTATAATAGTGAGGTACTCAAAGTTATCATATATATTTGTTACCGTATAAGAGTCATTTTTAGGTTTTTTGAATGTTGATGATACCACCGAAAAAGGGCTATTTGATATTACACTTGAGGAGTTAAAGTCTCTTGGTCTTGAAATTGATGACATGCGTTATCAAGGCTATGATAATGGAGAAAACATAAAAGGAAAACACCAAGGAGTTCAAAGAGAGATTTTTAGATCTAAATCCTAGAGCATTTTACACTCCTTGTGGTTGTCATTCTCTTAATCTAACATTATGTGATATGGCTAACAAGTGTGTTAAAGGAAATAATTTTTTTTCAGAATCATCCAGTGCATTTATATTATCTTTGAAAATTCTACTAAGAGGTGGGAAATTATGAAAGATAATGTTAAAGCTTGGCGTCTTAAGTCATTGTGCCAAACATGTTGGGAAAGTCGGGTTGAAAGTGTAAAGGCTATTAAACTGCAACTTGTTGATGTACGAGAAGCTTTACTTCAAGTTGGAAAAAAAGATAATGATGTTGTAATTACAAGCAAAGCAAATTCACTAGCAGAAAAAAGAATTGGTGACTTTGAATTTTTGTTATCAACTGTTATCTGATATCACAGTAAAAAGTTACAATCAAAAGATATGCATCTTGATAATGCTATTACAAAAATAAACAAATTGATTGGGTACTTCAATGATTAAAGAGAAATTGTTTTTCAAAAGCAATTGATGAAGCTAAGGAGATTGCTTTTGAAATGTGTATTGATCCAATATTTCCACAAAAGTGTTTGATTGAAAGGGAAAAAAAATTGATGAGAGTTCAAGTAGCGAAGAAGTTTTATTTACAACTGAAGATAATTTTAGAGTCATTTATTTTTTTATACATTGTTGATCAAGTTATTTCTTCTCTTGAGACAAAAATTGAACAATTCAAAAAGTATGACAAAGTATTTGGTTTTTTTATTTACATGTAATTTGAGGGGAGTTGAAGATAAAGATTTTAAGCCGTCTTGTCATCATCTTGAAAAAGCTCTCAAGTTTGAAAAAAGATCGGATATTGATGCCGAGAAACTTTATATGGAGTTGAAATATTTGAGACATTGGAAACCAATGATTTAACGACCCTATAGATGTTTTCAAGTTTTTAAAAGAACTTGATTATTTCCCAAATGCATGCATTACATATAGAATATTTTTGAGTATTCCGGTAACGGTGTCATCTATAGAAAATAGTTTATCGAAATTGAAGTTTTTGAAATCTTACTTACGCTCCACAATAACCGAAAAAAGACTTAGCGGTTAGACGATAATATCTATCGAGAACGAAATCTTTGAGAGTATACACTACGAAAAGTTGATCAACCAATTTGCTATCAAGAATGCTAAGAGGGCTTCACGGGGTGTCCAGTTTGATGTTACGATATGTAATTACTCATTAAAATACTATGATTTTGTTATGTTTATTGCTATAAAGTTTATCGTCATTTAAAGAAAAATAGTTTATGTAATTTAATTCGTTACACATTAAGGCCTAAAGATTTTTTTTCCGACTTTGTCCTGGGCATTTGAATCCTCAGGACTGACCTTGATTACGATACATGCGAAATTGTTCGAATCTTGTTAAAATGCTTAAACCCTAATTTCACGTACTTCTCAAATTACGTAATTTTGATACGAGTAGTTATGCTACAAACCTACAAGTTTCTCTTTAACCCTTTACCCTCGAATTACATAGTTCCAATGTGCATAATTTTGACTCCTAAGTTTATAGTTTAAAATCTAACTCATTTTAGTAGTGTTCTTTCAAAACAATGTTCTTCTTGTGCTTAAAGTTTAAACTTAAACCTGTTTTCTTTTGAAATGTTCCGTTCTTAAACTTATAATGATATTGTTTTTATAGGATCTTATGATTATTATTTTGCATAGCATAAAATGATTTTATGTCTGATCTGATAACCTTGCTCAAAACCAATACATTGCATGCAAAAAAAATATTTATATAGATCGTTTCAATAAACATGTCATTAGCATAATAACGTTTTTATATAGTTTACAGTTGGTTACAAGGAAAGAAATAAGATTTTTTTTTATTTTTTTTTATTTTTATTTTTTTTTGCTTTAAGACTTTTGTTAGGTTTGAGGCCCTGTGGACCGACAAGTTATCTGTCAAAAGTCTTCACTCCTTTTTTAAAAAAAATTATGGGCCCCAAAATTTGAACTACCGCCCAAATACTTCACTTCGCACTCCCAAAGTCTCAAGTGCGCGTTTAAAGCCGCCCCATTTCTCCCCTCTTCTTTGCTTTCTCTCTTAATTTCTTCAATTCACTGTAAATTGGATTTGGGAAACGCCGGCGATGGTAAATGGGTAAGACAACCAGGTGGCTCCGGTCTCTTTTCGGCTCCAAAAAGTCTTCAAGTAAGTCGGATTCCAAAAGACAAGCGCCGGAAAACCACGGTTCGTACCCCAAACAATCTGATGACAACAAGCACGCCATAGCAGTTGCGGCTGCCACCGCTGCTGTGGCGGAGGCAGCGCTCGCGGCGGCACATGCGGCGGCGGAGGTCGTGAGATTGACAAGTGCCGGTGGTAGCAATAGCAGAGCGTATTATGTCGGTGGGCGACGCCGGGAAGTGGCGGCTGTGAAGATACAATCGGCATTTCGGGCTTACCTGGTACGTTTCGTAACTGTTAATTTACCCAAGTGCCCTTGTATTCCAAATATAAATTAATTTTTAATTACTCCAACAAATCTTCATTGATTTTGCGCATTGGGTCCCGCCACTTCATTCATCGGTGGTAGAGCGCCCTCGGACTTTTTATATTTCTCTTTTGGACCCTTGTTATTCCCGATATAAACTTCACTTCTTTATCTTTTATAGCATTCTCCAACTTTAACATTAAAACTTAAAAGTAGTTTTTTATATCAAATCTGTCCATCCCAATACCATTTCATTATTTTTTATATCATTTTGATATTGACAAAATAATAAAACATAAATTTCCGTATTTTGTATTTATTTGCAATTTGGTATTTAGTATCTATTTGCGTATATACAACTGACATATTTATTAAGTTTTAATATATCTTAAAATGTATGTGTAATATTTCAATAATTGTATGTGTGATAAAATGTGATAACTAATTTGAGTTATTTGTAGGGACTAGCTTAGAAAAATCCAACTTATTATTATCTTCCAGTGTTTAAAAAACTATTATGCTATTTTTTTATCTACTAAAACTATTATACGTTCGGATTTTGATTGAATTAATGCTTGCCAGTCTGCTAACACAAGAAAAGTGGTTGCATAGTCAATTTCAGAAACTGTAATTATTATTAATAAAAAGTGCTATCATTTTGCTAGAAACTGTAATAATATTAATTTCCAGAATATGTATTATATAAGTTTTATAATTTAAATAAATGTTCTTATGTACTTATTATAGTTCTACGTAAGCTATGCAACCAATTTTATTACGTTATATGCAAAACAATAATCTAATGAAAATAAAAATATATATATAATGGTTTTAATAGACATAAAAATAAAATAATGTTTTTTAAGCATTGACAGAAAACATGTTGGTTTTTTTGAGCTTTTCTCTTTGAATTGTATTAATTAAAAGGTGAAACATTGATGCATAAAAAGCAGTTAACCTTGATGTGTATGCACTATGCTCAAAGAGTTGAATGTGTAGGCTAGGAGAGCATTGAGGGCACTTAAAGGATTAGTGAAGCTTCAGGCGCTTGTACGTGGTCACATCATACGGAAACAAAGTGCAGACATGCTTCGAAGAATGCAAGCCATGGCTCGGCTTCAGGCTCAAGCCTGTGCCAACCGAGCCCACTCATCAGCTTCACCACATTCAACCGTCAAGTCCTTCCGGTCCCACCACCATCCCGTAAGTAAAAATAAGAAAAAACCCTAATTCATAACCTTTTTATCTTCTTGTATAATTCGAGTGTGTTCTTATGGATTCCATTACAAAACATACACAGCGATCCAACTCGATGTCTTACATCAAAGGTGAACCACGATTCCATCATAGCGGACCATATTGGTTAGACAACTGGATGGAGGATACTTCATGGACAAGCAAACATGATGATAAAAGTGACAAGATTCTAGAAGTGGATACTTGGAAGCCAAGGAAGATTACAACCCCGAAAAAACCGAGTAAATCTCGGTTAACCGATTCGAGTTGGGGAACAGAGAAAACGGTTGGAAGTGGGTATAAAAGCCAAAGTAGGAGTCCGTTTACTCCGGCTCATAGTGGTGAATACCCACGGAGCCTATTTGGGGAGTACCCGAGTCACCCTAACTACATGGCTAACACAGAGTCGTCTCAGGCGAGGGTGCGGATGCGGTCAATCAGTGCTCCGAGGCAAAGGAAGCATTGGGATTACTCAGATACTCAGTCCGAGAGGGGTTTTCGAAGGTAGGTTTGGCGGATCTTTGATTAACCAAAAATGGCGTGGTGTGGTTTTGTATAGTTAACATTTTCAAGGTTATTTGTGTGATTGCAAAAACGAATTGTGTTATGGCTTGTGTAGACACGATGTTACAAACATGTTGCATTGATTTTGATGTTTGACTCTGAATGAAACTAATATCAATGGGACAAAACTTGTAATTTTTTTTTTTTTTTTTTTGACTCCGAGTGAAACTGAAGTCATGTAACATATGTATCGCTCCGTCTGGTCTTGTCTTGTGTAACTAACAAAGGTTTAATAGGTCTTATTATTTGTACTTTTAATATATGTATGTAATTACATTGACATAGAAAATGACTATAGAGTTAATTACATGGATTACAACCAAATTAAAAGGTACAAACACAAATTCTATGAAACCTACATGGTTAAATCAATAAAGTAAAATGCTAGTAGCGACCAAACAGAAATTGAATGGGAAGCTCTTACTAGCCGCATTCGGTGGTGGGATCAGTGAGAAAGCCAAGCGAGACACCACAAAAACCAGGTAAAGTACAAAAGGCATTAGCTGCGTCTGGGGTGTAGGTGGCATTGATAACAACAATGAAGCAAAAGCATAAAGCGTGTCTATCAATGTCATTGTAAGCAAAATAACCAAGAGTAGTCATGGCTTTGCAACAACTGGACCCTAAATACGGGTATTTTGTCTCGTTGTTGACAAACTCAGAGCAAGTAGATAAGAGAGCGGCCACGGTTATACAGTCCACTGCCAATACCACCACCGTATCCACAACCACAACCACCATCACCAACAACCAACTACCAATAACCACCCTTAAACTCACCATCTTCATCATTCTTATCATCACTAAAAATGTGATAGGATCTGTGTATAAAGTGGCATATAGGGTAGGTAGGCAACAGAAAATGCATGCTCTAAGATTCTAAGAGAATTTTTTTTTATTCTTCCCATTAAGTCGGAGACCAAATAAACAGTAAATGGCCCATTTTTCCTTAACATTCCAACAAATTTTAAACATGAGATTTGAAAAAAGAAAAGAAAAAAAGACAAATAGGAAAATAGGAAAAATTGGATAGAGTCTCAATTGCACGGCTAAGAGGAGAGATATACCATGTAGAAAGTGGGAAAATAATGTAATGTTAGACTTAAAAGATTTGGATCTTTTCGATGACATGACCTCATAAAAGAGTATGAATGCTTAGAATTAGGGTGGTAGAATAGTTAGTATATAAGTATTATTATTATTATTATTATTATTATTATTATTATTATTATTATTATTATTATTTTGTTTTTATTTTTTTATTGCATTTTTTACATTTTGGGAGTGCTAGATTTGAGTCCGACCATTGTTTCTTTTTTATTCTGTTTGTATGTGTTAGTACCCATTTCTACCTTGTGGCAAATGTCTTCTGCAACATTGCTAGTTCTTGCATTTTTTTGTTTGTTCATTTGGCCTCTTCAGGGTGACATTTGATTGTGCTTCTTTGCATGTTAGCTTGGTATTTTGCATGCCTTCTAAGTCTTGTGATATTCGTTTGTATTCGTATGAGTATATTGACTATATTCTTTACTTCCTCACTCATTGTATGCTTCATCACTTGATGTATGTTGTATTTGTTATAAGTGTTTTGCCAGCCCCATGTTTTATTGCTTTTGTTTACTAAATCAATGTGTATACAACCAGTTTGCACATTCCTACCACTAACATTCTCTATAATCAGCCCAAGTATTTGAATTTCTTTCTCTTTTTTCCCTAATAGCCGTCAACCCTCACCATCTTACTATTTATTGAACTGTTCATTTATTTTCCTATTGATCTTGTGGATTGACGTTTCTTATGCATATCTTCAAAGACAATCAGCATTAAATCTTTAACATTTACTTTTATTTTTGACAGAGGTCTTCTTTGGAAAAAGAAGCCTACTAACTAACCTCCCCCCTTACCCCATTTTTGTAAGACTAGGGTTTTGCTTAACCCACAAAGTCATTCTGTTTAGATTAAATAAAAATGGAACCATATATAGTTGTCCAAATTAATTGTTTAACCCATTAAGCTCATTAAACAAAAAAGAGAAAGGGTGCCCATGTTAGAGAGGTGCATAAACATGTGATGTATGTGTACACTCATGGTGTTTCAAGGACTTGTGCAACCTTTTTAGATGTGGAACAAACAATAATAAATTACAGTTTGTACCATTAACACCATTGATAACAGTTTCAGTCTAATTCATACCAAATGCAGTGTGGTTCAAAAGTAGATATTGTTTTCATATTGGAAATTGTAAATGGTAACAAACATCTGAACAAAAAGAATGTCTCAATGGAATCGACATAAAAAGTAACAAACATTCAAAAGTTGTCTCCTAGCATGTAAAAAAACAAGTACCAAATAGGAAACTTCAACGTTTCCCACCACCACCTCCAATCTTAGGTCCCTTCCCTCCTTTAGCCACATTTCCACTCTTTCCTTGTGTCTTTTGCTTAGATACTACCTCTGCTTTCTTTGCCTTCTTCTCGTCTTTAGTTTTCTTGATCCTCTCCTTGATTTCACTTCATTCATTTGCAAATAACAACATATTTAATTATGCCAAATTGGTAAAAACATTAATGTCATATAAAGAAAAAGCAATCTTACCGAAGAGCTGCCTCCCTAGCAGCATCACGGACTTCGGGTTTTTCACTTCTTTTCTTCTGAATGACTTCCAATGTGGCTCCCACAATAGCCCTAGAGTAAGGCTTCTTTGTGGCACGTCGTCTCTTCTTCACAGCTTCTTGAGCAATGTCCTGTTAGGTTTCAAGAAAAAGAAAGGGCAAATTAGTGATTTTATCAAAATACAGTGAGAATCATTATTGTTGATTGATGGGATTTCTCACCTTCTTATGTTGCTTTCGGTACATGGCTGTCCATGTGAGCTTTGAGGGCTTCAGTTTATTATGAAAATACCTCTTGCATTTGGAATTTGCAAACAAAAAGACCTAAAATTGAAAACATACAAATTAGTTGCAGTAAACAAGTTAAAGATAAAGATGTATAAAAGCTAAAGCACACATTGTTTTAAACTAATTCCATACCTGAGAGTCTGATCGAATGAATCTAATACCCCTTCCAGGATAAATCTTCTGGCCACTGAATCTGCAGAGCTCGGTCCTATTGTTACAGATAGACAAGGTTAGATTCTAAGACAGCCCAAAAGAATCCCTTATGAAAATAAAAATATACGGATCATAATGAGTTTCATAAACCAAATAGACTCAGATTAAACGATCGGAGATATAGCAATCACAATTAAAATCTTAACAAAATATATAATCCGATAATTTTATAAACACTGTAATTCTCGTGAAGAAGCAAGAATATTTGAATAGAGAGACTTGACCAGTGTTTCTATCGCTATAACACCAAAACCGTATAACTAATCGACCTAGATAACATTTATCATTTGCTGATGGAATTCACGCTCATAAAGCATAATGCTCATGTGAATTGAACAAAAATTGTATCCATATGAACATGAAACAAGTTCGTCAGATTCCGTGAAAAAAATCCATGAAACGCATAAATCATCAAATCTTCAGAATAATAGAGTATAGCTGAGTGCTGCAACGATCGGATTTCAAACTTTAATTTGAGCATATTTTGTTCGAATAGGATGGATTGAAAACACTAATATGAACTATGACCACATTTACAAATCAACACATCAAACGCTTAACAGTTGCATATACAGACGACGAGCAATTAGGATGAATCAAAGTAACGCATGGACGGAATCTTACTTTAACACCATGGCGGCGGCAGCAGCAAACTTCTTTGTCTTCGATAAATAAAACCCTAGAAACCCTAATTCGGTTGGTTCTTATACAGCATCAATTTGGTCATATAGTATAAGAAAGGGTTTTGAATAGGCCATATACCCTACTCCACGAAACAAAACATGCATTTCTAGTCCCTCCACTTTAGTGTTTCGGAGCTTCTATCCTGTTATTCGATTTTTTTTTTCTTAATTTATTTATTTAGCTGGAGGTGACATAAAGAAACCAATAAATGTTTTTTTAAAGTAAAGTGCGTAAATGGTTTTCGTGGTCATGTAAAAATTACATTTCTACTCCTACCTTTTTAGTTTGTAAGATTCCTAACTTTTGTATTTTGTAGCGAAGATCGTCTTAGGGGGTTTGAAAGTAAAAATCATTTTTTTGATTAAAGTCAAATTCATTGTTCATTGTTAGTAATTTAGTAGATATACTTATATTACTAGGTGTAAAACCCGTGTAATACACGGGTTGATTAAAAAAAAGATTAAATATCAAAATGTAAACAATAAATATTTTTTAAAATAAAATTTTGAAATAATGAATGAAAAACATATTAATTGCAATTTATTATGACATCTATTACATTTAATGTTTTACATATATACACATAAGTATTATGTGACTTTAATTTAAAAAATTAAAAAATCTAGAAATTGACAAGTGGATTTTGTTTTATTTTAAAAATATCACAAAATGACAAGTGTCAAAACTTATAAGAGATTGACATGTGGCAAATTGATCTTCATTTATTATAGTAGATGTATTTATGCCCGGTTCTCTTGTATTTTGTATGTATGTAGCCTGGTCCATGTTTTGTGTATCTTGTATATTAATATTTATATTGGTTCATTAATGAGATGAGGGCGACACACAAGTTTATTCACGTTAACATGGTATCAAAGCGGTAATATCAAATCTATCGTCTCCATCATCTCATCTTAACCCTAGTGTTGCCTATCCATTCTTTGTTTGGCACATCTTTTATCCTGTTCATCTCGTTTCTTCCCTTTGTCTTCTCTTTCCACACTATGACAAGACACACAAGCAAAGGCATCCCATTACCGAGAAACCCTATGGGATCTCAAACATACATGCCTCAATCCCTCTCCTTATTGTTAGGAACCGGACCGGGTACACGCAGCGGAAACACACTATCACACACACACAAACTCACGAAAATAAAGCAAGAAGAACACAAGGATTTTACGTGGTTCGGATTCGGTGCAAATCCTACGTCCACGGGCTGCAACTAGAGAATTTTATTAAAACTCACAAGATTACAATTGGCTTGACATTCTACACTTGATGTTCTCTCAAGTTTTTGCACACCAAATATGCAAAACATACATGCATATATATAGGTGAATGTTTACCATGTGAAAACATAAAGAGTTGTAACCAATTTAAAGTCTACCAACTTCAAGTTTGAACATGTTGAATGCACCACTTATTTTCCAACTTTCAGTTTGAATTTGATTCTTTTATTTCACATGCATAGCCACATGTGTTCAACCTTTCATATTTTACCTAACAATCTCCCACTTGAAAGTTTGAACAACATGGTCCGTCTCTGTCATCCAACTCCAGTAATCTTAAAACAACCAAGTCTTCCAAGCCTCCAGTTCCTAAGAACAAGCTAAACTTAGTCCCATTTCTCTAATTGCAGCCGCCCCTCATCTTCAAGTACTAGAAGAGCCAGTTGAAGCTCCCACTAGCTCCAACTCAGTCGTGGCTAATCCCACCACCGACTCATCCTCTGTCTCAACCGGTTTGGACACTCCACCAGATCCAGAGATACACCGAGGACCACTAACACTCTCCAAACTTTGCAAACTTCCAACAAGAGAGAATTTTCCAATCTTAGTCTTCAAAACCCAACGGCTCTTTGTAACTGTACCCAGAACACACCCCGTGCTCCCACTGTCACAGAATCCCCCTGAATGGTTTAGAATTTCCGACTCGTTCAGCTAACATCCCCTTGGCTCCAGAATTCATGTTTGCAAAATGAACTCTCTTAGC